TGGATTTCATCCTTCCAGTCGCTAGTGATAATTATATCATCAACATATACTATCAAAGCAACAATTTTACCTTCTCCTCTTTTCACAAACAATGTCTGATCAAATTGACATTGCTTGTATCATTTCTGTTGAACCGCTGCATGGAATCTGCTGAACCAGGCTATCGGTGATTGTTTCAGCCGTATAAAGACTTCTTCAACCTGCACACCTTTTGATCATTGCCTTGAGCCTGAAAACCAGGGGGTTGTATCATGTAAACTTCCTCTTCAAGGTCACCATTCAAGAATGCATTCTTGATATCAAGCTGATGTAGATCCCAGTCAAGATTAGCAGCAAGAGAGAATAGAACTCTAATGGAGTTCATCTTGGCAACGAGTGCAAAAGTCTCTGCATAATCAACTCCGTACACTTGTGTAAACCCCTTTGCCACTAAACGAGCTTTATACCTCTCCACTGTGCCATCAACCCTATGTTTGACTGTGAACACCCATTTACATCCAACTGGATCCTTTCCCTTAGGAAGATCTACAAGTTCGCATGTGCCATTTTATGAAGGGCATTAATTTCTTCCTTCATAGCATCTATCCATTCAGGTACTGAAAGAGCTTCTGCCACATTCTTAGGGATAGGGACATTGTCAATGGATGTGAGAAAGGCTCGAAAAGAGGGTGAAATGTTTTCATAGGAAACAAAGTGGGAAATGGGGTGTTTAGTGGTGCACGATCTAACACATTTCCTGTGAACAATAGGAAGGTCAAGGTCATTATCAATAGAGGTATCAATTGCAATGGGGTCAGGGACATCAATGGGAACCAAGATACCTGAGTGAGTATGATTTTCCCCCAAAGAGTTTAATGGCACTGGAGGTACAACTTCTGGATTCTCCACAACTCTTGAATTTGGTTGGCCTTTGTGACGACAGAAGAAGACACGAAAATGAGGAGGATCAGGAAGAGGAGGGAGCTGAACTAGTTTCTCCTCATTCCTACTCTCCCCCTGAGGAGAAACAGGGAAAAAAGGCTCACTCTCAAGGAAAGAGACATCCATGGAAACATAGAATTTCCAAGAAACAGGATCAAAACAACGGTATCTCTTCTGAGTGAAGGAGTACCCCAGGAATATGCAAGGAATAGCACGGGGATCCAATTTCCCACGAGTGGGGGGCAAATTTTTGACAAAGCAATGGCAACCAAACACACGAGGAATGGGAAGAAGGGGGGCCTTAGGAAAGAGAAGCTAATGTGGGGCTTTGCACTCTAACCAACGAGAGGGCATACGGTTGACGAGGTAGGTAGCACAAAGGACAACCTCAAGCCAAAAGCGTTTTGGGACATTCATATGGAGTAGTAAATCCCGGGCCACTTCAAGGAGGTGTCGGTTCTTTCTTTCAGCAACACCATTTTGTTGTGGTGTTCGGGCACAAGAGCTATGGTGAAGTGAACCACGTGACGCAAAAAATTCCGTGAGATCACTATGAAAATACTCTTTGGCATTATCTGACTGAAAAATTTGGATTTCAGTTTGAAATTGGGTGAAGACCATC